ACCGGTTTTAATAATTCAGGTTTATCACGTGAATTTTGTGATATTTTAAAATTTATTAAATTTTAATTGGATTAAATACTAAAATATCACAAAATTCATGTGATAAACCCGAATTATTAAAACCGGTTTCAACCTCTAATTTTAAGATCTCAAAATTTACAATCCAAAATTGTTGCTTTGATATCATCATTTATTTTAATATCTTCAGTTAAAATAGAATATAATGCAGGTCGAGCTTGCAAAACATGATTAAGATATTCAAAAGCTGATGTCTATCTGGTATCAACAGTCAAAATAAGTGCTATTTCAATACTATATATTTCTTTTTGCAAGCGATAAAGTGTAGCTAATAGAATTAAATGGTTACGAAAAATAAAACTATTTCTTTGTTTTTTTTAACAATTTGTGTTGCCTATTCGTTTTTAAGAATATCTTTAACTCAGAGATTTATTCCATATACCCAGCATCCCATAAAAACTTTATCTGGATATTTAATTTTTAAGATATTCCATGCAGTCTTTATATTATTCACATTTTGCCTGTAATAACACCAATATACTTGTTAACTTCAGTTTCTTGTATTATATCATTAATCCCTTTAGCAATATTTTCAGCAGTGTGATGTTTTTCATTAGTGTGAACCAATTTGTAAAAAATAGATGTAGGTGTAGTTATCATATAATTTATTACAGATGATTTATTAATATTTGTCTAACCATTACTAACTAAGCAATAGTAAAGCGTTTCATCAAGAATATTTTAAACAACTATCTGCAAATCAGCATGTTCTTTATTAAGTAATGAACTAGAAAGAGTTTGATGTAATAAAATTCTAAATAAAGGGCAAGCTTTATCAAGAAAAGCACAAAAATCTGAATTCTCAATTATATTAAATAGTATTCCTGATATGAAAAAGGCACAGGCAAGTAAAGATTCTAATTCTATTTGCTCATATTGTTCTAAATCATCTGACATTGATTATTTTCAGTTTTTATTAGAACTAGAAGCTTCATTTGATGTTAAGTTTTGCATAATACATGCATCCAGGTGCTCTTGTAATTGAATTACATTTTTTGCCTATTTTTTACTACATCTCTTATATGTGTAATGTTCTTTTTCATTTTATCAATTTGCATTATATATTGTTTTTATATTTCTTTATTCTTAATTCTAACTATTTTAATTAGTTTAAAATTTTAAATCAGATCTATTTATATGTCCAAGCAATATTTTTTTTTTTTTTAATATTAATGGTGAGGCCATGCCTCTAACTTTATTGAATATTTAATTGAGATTATAACATAA